ACGTGGTTTTGGATCATCTCCCGACAGGAGGAGTTGATCGGGTGCGCGATATCGGCGTAGAGCTTGGTGCGGCCGTCGGCGTCTTTAATGACCCGGCTTTCATTGAGCCGCCCGCCACACTGGTTGCAGTAGTGCGCGCGGAGGTGGTTCTTCATGCCGCACTTGCCGCAGTGAGCGGTGAGCTTGCGGCTGGGCATGGCGACGAACAAGCCGCTTGTGCCCTCGATGATCTTAAGATCGCGGACGACAAAGCAGTCGTCGAATGTGATCGAGCAGAACGCGCGGAGGCGTTCGCCCGGTTCATCCATCAACTTGATGCGTACCTCGGTGATGTGCACAGCCGTCGCTCCTGGTTTGCTGCCCCAGCGCTAACTATTTCGCTGCCGGCCGCACGATCTTGCTGCCCCCGCGGGTGGGGAGCCGGACAAGTGTTGCCGGAGTTACATGTGTTGTTCGTGTCGCCTGCGGTAAATGTCAGCCAATTGTGGTGGCAAGGGTTTGCCCAACACACAGCGCCCGCAATCTCTCCGCAGCCCGACGCGCCTGCCCCATCGTCGGAAACAGCCTGAAGTAAGCCGAACCGCTCCCCGAAAGCTGATGAGCCGCACAACCGCACCGATCGAAGGCCGACCGGACCCTGTCGAGCCACGGCGCGAGCCGCACCGCAGCGTGCTGCAGACCGTTGGTCATCCAGGCCGCCATCCGGCGCCAGTCTCCAACGGCAAGGGCCGCGGCGACGCTCTGCGTCCGGTCGGGGTCGTCGGCGGGGGCGTAGTCGGCTGGCTGGCATGCCTGGTAAACCGCCGCGGTCGCTAGGCCGGCGTCGGGTTTCACCACGACGACGGGCATGCCCGCTGAGAACGGCGTGGGTTGAATCCGCTCACCCCGTCCGGTCGCCAACGCGGCGCGCCACGAGCGATCTCCGATCGCACCGACAAAAAACGGGACATCGCTTCCGAGCCGCGAGCCTATCTCTATTTTACGTTCCTGCGACCAATCGAGTTCCCACACCCGGGCCGCGGCCAGCAGGGCGGCCGCCGCGTCGCTCGACCCCCCGCCGAGGCCGGCTTGATTGGGAATCCGCTTCACCAGCCGCACGTCGGCGCCGCGATCGACGCCCGCCTCGTCTCTAAGCAACTCTAGCGCACGCACCACGAGGTTGCGGCCGTCGGTCGGCACGCCGGCAGTCTGGCGGGGGTGGCCGAGGACTTCCAGGCGGATCGGTTCGCCCTGGCCGGTCGCTGTTATCTCGAGAGTATCGCGGAGGCCAATCGTTGCCATCAGCGTCCGCAGCTGGTGGAAGCCGTCGCTCCCCCTGCCCAGGACCTCCAGGCAGAGATTCAGCTTCGCCGGCGCGTCGAGGCGGCAGGTGAGGCCATGGGGCGATGGTCGCATCGGACGTCTCCAGCTAGACAAGAGAAACGTCGTCCCCTCTCCGAAGGGGATGGCGGCAAAACACGCAGCAGCAGCTCGATCTCCTCAATCGTTCTGAAAATGCCAGCGGACGGCGATTTCGTGCAAAAACCCAACCCCGCTGTCGCCCTTTGGACCCGATTGGCCCCGACGCTGTCAACGGAGTTTGTCAAGCGTTCTGCTGGACTGTACGAATCTCTGCTGCTGGCGTCAATTCACACCAGGCAGTCCGGGTAATCCGGTTAAACCCAACGACCCGCAGCCGGATTCGCAGTGACACACGGTTGTCAGACCCGCCCCCGAGACGCAGTGTACGCTATCCACAGAGCTGTTCCCGGCCATCCCGACCTCCCCCCGCCCCTATCTGACGCGCTGTGTCCCACCCCCATCCGGAGCCCCCTCGCTCCAATTCCCCCGGCACGCTCCTCCGCACGGTCGGCGTCGGCGTCGCCATGGGCTCAGCCGACACCATCCCGGGCGTTTCTGGCGGCACCGTGGCCCTGATCCTGGGCGTCTACGAGCGGTTGCTGAGCGCCCTGTCGCGTTTCGACAGTCAGTTTGTCCGATACGTCCTCAGCGGAAAGCTAAGCGAAGCCTGGCGTCATATCGACGCCTGGTTCCTCTTCGCGTTGGCGGCTGGCGTAGGCACAGGCGTGAAGGGCCTCGCTGGTGTGATGACGTACCTGCTCACCGAGCAAGCGACCTACACCTACTCAGCGTTTTTCGGCCTGATACTGGCGTCGGGCTGGCTCGTCGCGCGACTGGCGAAACCGGACACTCCGGTTGCCGGCGCCCGCTGCGTCGCGATTGGGCTGATGGCAATGATCTTCGCCGTCTGGCTCATGAGCCAGGGCCAAATGACGCCCCTCTCGGGTTTGCCTTACACCTTCGCCTGCGGCGTGATCGCGATCTGTGCGATGATCCTGCCGGGCATCAGCGGCGCCTACCTCCTGTTGATCCTCGGCAAGTACGAAGAGATGTCCGGCATCTTGCACCGCGCGCCGTCGCTATCCGGCTATGAATGGGCGTCGCTCGACGTCTTCCTGACGGGTTGTCTCGTCGGCATCCTCTCGATGAGCCGTGTGCTGAAGTGGCTGCTCGCGCGGTACTGGTCCTCGACGATGTCGGCGCTAGCGGGTTTCATGATCGGCTCGCTATACCGCGTCTGGCCGTTCCAAAGGGACACGACGCCCGACGTGGGAGAATTCAAGCTCAAGCTCTTCCAGCCGATGTTGCCCGACTCGTTCGACAGTACAGCGATGTCGTGCCTGGCGATCGGCGTGTTCTGCTTCGCCGCAGTCTTCGTGATCGACTGGCTGGGACGACGCGTTAGCGAAACCACCCCAGAAGAGGTGGCCGAGACGCTCGAAGACGAAGTGAACTGAACCCCACGATAGACGGCGAGCCGGCGACGTTA